TGATTTTTTCGTCATTAGTAATTTATCTCAGGAATTAAGACTGACATTTCCAGGTCACATGGTGAAGTGGTCAGTGCCTGGAAGATAAATATCTGGTTCGATCCTCAGTCTATCTGTGTGGACTTTATTATTCTCTGGGCACTTCATTTCCTCCCCAGTCCAAAGAAGAAAACAACAGGATTCTGTTAATTGAGCACTAATTAGGCATAAGTGAACACTGGTGTGAATGTCAGTGTGAATGGTCATTAGCCTCACCTGTGACTGTGAACAAAAACAATAGTACAAAATCAGTGAATGAATGACAATACATTTCTCATTCTGACTCCGAAAGCACCCAGATCTTTCACCTGATGCTGGTCTGGACAGATGGCAGCTGAGAAGGAACCACTGAATTATTAAAAAGGTACAGCTAATTACAACACAGACACAGATTTAAATGTATCTGTCAGGCTGTGTCGTGCCTACTTCTATTTCTGTCCTGGCTCCTGTTATGAGGTTGAGTGTTCTGAGGCGTTGCCTGCAGGCAGACAGGCAGCACAGAATGCAGCCATTCATCAGTGACTCATCTGTGAATGCAGAGAATGGCTAGTGCCGACAGAGAGCGATACGCCTGAGTGTCTGGGCTAAGATTCCAGGTTTTGTCTGGCTGGACAGATGCAGTAGATGATGTCCTGGGAATGTGATGATGATGATGAACTGAATCAGCTCTAAAACAGTCAGATTGGAGTGTTTAAAACACAGAGTTGTTTTGAGGGTTGTTATTGACTCATAAGTGTGGACTCTCTCCCTGTCTGCTCAGGTATATGATGTGGGCGAGAGTAATAAGTCTAATGTGACCTCTTAGGTGGAGGTTGTTCTCTGGAGGGGTGTGGGAGGATGGATCTCCAGTAAAGCAAATTTATCTCCAGCTAGAAACAAGCTACAATGATGATAGAGCTATCACCTGTGTCTGTATCCTTGTCAGCAGACTGACCAAAAAAGTACTGAACAAGTTTGCAATAAGACTGGAGAGAAGGTAAAAATGTCTTATTTAAAACATTATTTTTAAAAATAAAGTTTGTTTTTATAGTTACCCTTACACCTACTGGAACCAACTAATAAGGGGCAATGTTAAATAGCTACCTCTGAAAAGTCATCAGTATATTACATTTTTTAATTACCATAGTGACATGGCTTCATTGCTACTGTTATAATTAGATTTTTGTGTGACAAATGGGAGAAAACACATTCCAAGGTACACAACAAGGTAAGCAACATGGTAGCTATTGCTAACATCGTTAGCGTTAGCATTCTTGGAAATCTGTCTTGCAAGATGATATTAGATTATTATTATTGTAGTTATTGTTATTAATGTTATTATTATTATGTGTTTATTAATAATTATTTTCTAATCATTATGCAAACCCCTATGCTGTGGTTCCCTGGTGACATCACTGAAGCCCTAAGTTAAACAATTCTGCTGTGTATGAAGTTAAGCTAGAGGATTTTGAAGCTCATGTCATCCCTGGGGCATTGACGTCAGCCAAGACATTATCTGCTGCTGTAGAAACAAGCGGTTCGAGTGTTTGTAACAGTGTGTTCATACTGCTTTACATGTACATGAAACTGCAGTACGTAATGTCGTAAAATGAATCAACCAGCATCTGAATATATAAAAGTCCACTTCAGAGACCACAGGGGTTCGGTTATTTGTTAAATGTGAGAGCTCCCCCTGCTGTTGAAATACAAGACCACAGCAGATAATCATACAATATTAGGTCAGCAGATGCGTAACAGCACGAAACAATGCACCTGTGAACGGTAGAGCTTTGAGAAGAGAAAGTGAAACGATCTAATCTGTGAGTGCAATGCTAAGTGAAAATGGTTGCTAGTCCTTGTACAATGTTGTAACCTTTTCAGTAACGTGTCTGACATTTCTGGTGGTAACATTGTAGGAAAAGTATTTCAGCATTAATCAGAACAAAATCCTGGTCATTTAGTGGCACAACCTCTGTGATTCCAAGAGCCAAAAAACAAGCATGTAAAACAGATAGTTTCATATTATAAACAGACAAACAACAACAACAACAACAACCCAACAACAAGCATTTAGATAACTATATAAACACAACAATATACATATCAAGGAGCTATAGTATGTGGAATTTTACGGAATTAGAAGCCAGGGATTTGACGTTTAAATTGTAAATGTCAGATGAGGCTCTGGTTTAAGATTTAGTGTTTTTTAAGAATTTGTTTTTTATTGGGTCACTAAAAATATGTTGCCTTTCATTCATGGCAGTAATGCAACTTTGCTGTGCGAGGAAGCAGTCGAAAAAGAAAGAAGACAGAAGAAGAGGGACGCCAGTGGGCTGGTGAGTTCTAAAGTTGAGTTTCGAGTATAATTAATTTGAACTGAGTTTAGATTTATATTACCTGTATTATCTACCTGGAATTTGTTTTGTTTGGTTTTAAAGTTTTTACCACAAACTTGAGTTCATGAATTCACTTCAGACCCTCCTGATCACCGTTGAGGACAGGTACATTTAATGGATCAGGTTTGGAGGAGCCTAAGAATGGAAAGTAATGCAAGGCACTAACAAGACTAGCAGCCAAAACCTTTGCGTGTGAGCGTGTGATGAGGTTGGAGGAGGTGCAGAGGGTAAGGGAGACCCAGGCAAGCAGGGAAGCTGATGACCAGGTTGCTATGGAAACCATTGTATTCCCCTACCTTGTGATTGGTGCTGCTGGTATGAGCAAGGATCTGCTATTTCTGTCATTATTCAGCACCTGAGACATGAACACTGTGGTCACAGGACACACACACACACACACACAAACAAAGGCCCTTCTATATTCAGTATCCCTCTTCGAAACAGCTTGTTTCGTTTCCCTGTCATATCCTCCAAAAATGCTGTGGAGAATGATTATTATTTTACGTTCTTTTGACCCTAAAAATGCTGGAAACTTCAAAGAAACATCTGCTGCTGTGTTTCTATCTCCATACAGATCATATACTGTAAATGACTAAAGCCTCATTCCTGCCACAGCAGCAGCTGAGAGAGTCGCACCTCTGTAAATAATAACAGTAGCAGAGTAACTGGATCAATAAAAGAACCTCTGCTCAATTCATCTATTGATTTATCAGTGAACAGAAACAATGAGTTGTGAAGTAATCAGGGTTTGTGAGGCGCCGCTTCTGATGATGAATTAATCCCTGAGGAAATGACAAGGCATGCCAGGGATACTGATGAGCGATGCAGTTTGTTGATGCTGATCCACAGGAAGCAGCAAATAATTAATAACAAACTACTTCTTGTTATCAACTTTAAAGACGTCTACCAGCGTCTGAAGTCATGAAACCAAGGTGTTACAAAACATATATGAAGAATGGTAGTTTGGAGAAAGAAAATATTTTTTTCTCTATGTAAATCCCCTGCAGGTGGCGCTATAACTAATGTTCAAAAGCTCTAGTGTGTGAGTTCTATGCAAAGGTAAAACAGAATGATTAAATCCTGGAACGCTGTCAAACCTGATCAGGAAAATATGTGATACATTTAGCAGTTCAACAGTGTCTTTGCTGTTACTTTACAGCTTGATGCTTTCATCATGTTCCTTAGTTTTGATCTATTTTGAAATACTTAACACAAACATTAAAATATTAGCATGACTCTCCCATTAGTATTCCTTTAAGAACGACCTAAAAATCTTCAAGCTGTATTACTCACAGACCCAGTAGATTGGCTAAGCTAAAGTTCCCCATACACAACCCCCAGCATGCTGCTGCCACCTAGGGTTTAATTGTAGACCTCGATATGGATGCAGTCACTTCACTGTGGTTTTCCAGAAAGGTTCCTGACATCCTCTTCTGAACTCTGAACTCCTTTAAGGTCGAGCCCTCTTCTTCTTCTTCTCTATAACACAACTTACCAGTAAAAAGTCTCTCATTCCATGCATCCTTTATTTGGAGCAGTAGCGCCCTCTTGCTCCAATGAGGGCTTTTTTTTTTAAATTTTCTGAGAACGATGGTCGTTGAATGAAAGTCGATGACCCATGCACTTATACAACACTTGTCCAAGTGCCAGCTCAGGATCATTTCTTGATGAAGCCAATGCCAGTATCCCAAGGCCATCAAAACAGACAGTCTACAGTCCTTGGCTGCGGCTAAACGTTGTGTCCATAAATAATACAAAAGAGAGTCAGTGACACAGTGCTGCACTGGTTGAAGTCAAATTCCCACTGGGACGAGTGTGACATGCTGCCGGCATTGCACACCAAACTCTGACCGTGGCACTCAAGAGATCAAACGGTCTATGCTCTCGGAGAACCTTTCAAAGAACATCCCATCAGATTCAAATTCCAACTCTCATAATCACTTCAAACAATAGCACCATCGGGGCATTTAAATACCTCCACTACATCGAGGTGGTGGCTCAGAGAGGGGTAACCTGCTCCTATGGTAAACAAACAAATAATGCGGCTGAAGTGAAGCAGGTTGTGTGTGTTCTGTGGGCTGGGCTTTTGGAAATGTTAATCTCAGCTCATTAACGTGAACCTCTTGGATTTCTTTTCCTCTCCGTGAATCAATAATCCATCCTCGTGAGTAGGGTTTTCACTGGATTGTGCAACCAGTAGGATATTCGGTGAACTGAGAGTGAATGTGTGTGTGTTTGTGCTCCAGTTGTTGTACATCACATGTGAGCAGACAGAAGCTCTTTAAAAAAAAACCCAAAAAATAACCAAAAAAAAAAAACATAATCTGCTCTGTCTCTCCCAGCAGGAAGACCTGACTAGCGGAGAGCAGAGATGAGAGAGGTATTGTGTGTGTGTGTGTGTGTGTGTGTGTGTGCGTGTATGTGTGTGTTTTTGAAGGGACAGGGAGTGGGGGCGGTCAGTGTGATGACAAGATGAAAAGAACCAGGTGAGGAGGAGACACAGGCTCGTCCCTCTCCTCTCACTCCCCTCCCACCCTCCCTCTCCTTCTCTCTCTATGTGACGTGATGTGTGTGTAGTGTGTCAGTGTGTTTGCTGTGTGTGTGGGTGAGCAGCAGCAGCAGAGAGAGAGAGAGAGAGAGAGAGAGAGAGAGAGAGAGAAACAGTTCGGCTTTCCTTCAGCAGACTGTGAACCTGAACAGAGAACAGCAGCCCTCTCTACAGACTGAGGTATGTCAACGACTTATCATCACACACATCCACACACAAACCTGCTCCATTAACAAAATGTGCTGTTTCCTTTTTTTGTCCTGTAAAAAAACAAAAATGGGAAGTTAGGAGAGAAGGAGGGAAATACGTCTGAAGCAACAGAATTCTTTTCCCATCACATCTCAAACCACATCATCTGTGTGTTTTCAGAATGGGATTCTGCACACAGATGCCTCCTTCTCATGCACCCTTAATGTTGTCACTTGCACGTTGTACGTCGCCGCTGAGTGAAAGTGCTTTGTAATAACAGGGACTCTTAAACAACAGGCTAGTTTTCTCCATGCAGTAAACACCATAAAGGGTCATATGGTTTCCAGTCAGCAGCTGAACACATTCAGTCTCAACCTTATATTTTCCTGCTTTTTTTTTTCTATCTTCTCTTCTAAATTCATTAACAGCCTCTGGGACTGATGGTAAATTTAAACTACATGTCTTTTATTTGTTTGTTTCATGTGAGCCTCAATTTTGGCTTCTGTTCATATTTGACTTGACAGAATTGACCATAGCGGCTTACAGGTAAATCTTTCTGCACTGGATACTGCAAATAGGCTGGTGTGTGATTAACGAGCCCTGGGGACTAGAGGACTTCACTTCAGGGAATTGTGCTGATAATGTTTTGCTGGTCCTTGGAGTGATGCTGTACTCCTGAGAGCCATAAATGAACCCGTGATGAATTAGAGGGAGAATCGACCCAGGGCCGCGCCGCACTAATTGTTACATCACGGCTCAGATGTCATTTGCAGAATATTTAATTGGGCTGAAGGTGACTGTAACCCTTTGACCTATCCAGCAAGTCGCGCCTGCGTCTGTCATGTGACCGACATGCTTGATGTGGGTACGTAGGCATGGAAAGGGCAAGGCTCAAGCCCTGCACATGCAGGTGAATGCAGGTGTACTTCATGTGGAAATGTACCGAGGGCTTCGTGCTCACTCCGCAGCTTTTACCCAGTGAGGGGTTGTGCGCAGGTGAGATTATGACAGTAAACACAGCATAAAGCTTCTAACCTACAGCTTTTCTACCCTACACAGCTCAAGGTTCTCCCAGAACAGGGACTGAATCCTCTTCACAAGTTTAACTAGGAGTGAAGAGTCGCCTGGGGTGTGAGATTTCTATCATGTGTTCTCTTGTGAAATAAATGAAAGAGATCAGTGACATTTCAAAACATCACCCAACAGAGCTGGAGCCGCCGCGGTCTTTGGTTTTTCCACTATGTTAATGTTTTCAATTCACTTCTTGACGTACTGAACATGTGGTTCACTCTGGGTCCGTAGAGTTTCCCTGAGGCACCTGATTTCCCGAAAAGCATACATCTGATGATTCAGACGTCAAACGTACACTAAATGATGGTTCTTTGTTCAGTCCAGCTGTGCCTGCACCAGGTCTGGAGGCTTTTAAAGTCAAAACTCAACTCGGCTTTGACACATCAGACCACATTTACACAGAGAGCTGCGATTTAAATGAGATGAAATTGACAATTGACATGGTGCTACTATGGCATCTGTGTTAGCATTGCTTTCACAGGGGTCATTTACGTGGTGGTTGATTGGCTACGGATCAGTGCACACAGCAGGTATTGTTGAACTACGGCACACCATCGTAACTAACTCCTGGAGTGAGTCCCAAGACCTGGTGGATGGGGACAACTGCATGATGAAGTCTTGCACGAAAATGTTTACAATATTTGAGAATATTACTTTGGTTTTAAAGTTCCCTTTTGATGCATATTTGGGTTTAAAGCCACATTATCATCTTTCCCCCCAGATATTTTCAACTAAAGGTCAAACTGGAAAGAGAGATTCTAAATCTCCCTACATCTCCACGGAGTAGCTGCCTCTAGAGATCCAGCGCTCCTGGGCCCAGAGCCTGTGCAGCTCCAGCTGCCATGACAGAAACCACCGCCTCCTGAGCTTCTCGGCGACACCCTACGACGGGGGAGGATGGGTGATGGGCCCCCGAGACTAAGCAGACTGTCTCTTATTTTTGCCGTCCTCTCATGGAGCAACTTGTCACGCCGAGCTCCTCCTGGAACACATCTCCCTCCAGGCTTCCCGTATTTCCAGCCCTGCTGCATCCAAACATCTCTAACGTGACTGCTCCCATCACAAGAAGCCAAGGCAGCGTGAACCTGAATCAGTCCTTGACACTATGTGTGATGATTGTTATGGATGTGCTTGCAGTGGTGGGAAACTTGGCTGTGATGATTGTCATCAGCAAAACTCCACACCTGCGTAAGTTTGCCTTCGTGTTCCACCTCTGCCTGGTGGACCTGGTGGCAGCGGTGGTGCTGATGCCACTAGGGATGCTGTCGGATCAAATCCTCGCGGATGAGGTACTGTGTCGGAGCTACCTCTGTTTAAGTGTGTGTCTAATAAGTGCTGCCATTCTGACAATCTCTGCCATTAACGTGGAACGGTACTACTACATCGTCCACCCCATGCGTCACGAAGTGAAGATGACCGTGGGCGTGGTGGTGGTGGTGGTCGTAGGAATCTGGATTAAAGCCATAGTCATGTCCTTGATACCTCTTTTGGGATGGCTCCTCCAGGAAAAATACAGTCTAGCCTCTTCTTCTCTTCTGGTTCCCAGTCAGAGACACTGCTCCCTCCACTGGACAGGAGGCAGGATCATGCGCCTGCTTTTCACGGTGTTTTTTACATTTATTTATTTTCTCTGTCCGATGCTGATCATTCTCGTGGTCTACTGCAACATGTTCAAGGTGGCGCGAGTAGCTGCCATGCAGCAAGGCCCCCTTCCTACCTGGATGGACATGCCACGACAAAGGTCCGAGTCCAACAGCAGCTACCTCACCATGGCAGCGAGTCTCCTTGGATGGACATGCCACGACAAAGGTCTGAGTCCAACAGCAGCTATTCCACCATGGCAGCGAGTCTCGGAGGAACTGGTGCCCGCACCACCCCGCAGAGAGGTTTCGGTGGTGGGAAGGCTGCGGCCGTTTTGGTGGCAGTGGGGGGTCAGTTCCTCTGCTGCTGGCTGCCATATTTCTCCTTCCATCTCTATTCAGCTGTGATGTCTACATCCCCCACCTCACTGGCACAACTGGAGGCCGTGGTCACATGGATTGGATATTTCTGCTTCACCTCCAACCCCTTCTTTTACGGCTGCCTGAACCGGCAGATTCGCGAGGAGCTGGGCCGCCAGCTAGCCTGCTTCTTCAAGCGGGCCGGGCCCAGTGAAGGGGAGCAGCTGCCCAGCCGCGAGGCTTCTATTGAGGAGAACTTTCTGCAGTTCCTTCAAGGCACAGGATGCAATCTGGAGCCCTGCAACTCTCACAGCAGAGGCAGCCCAGAAGAGCCAGAGACAGACACCATTCATGACTCAGCTGTTCAGCAGAACATGGCAGCTGACTTTCATATCCCAGGGCAGATCCTCGAGGAGACCTCGGAGTTTTTGCAGCATCAACAGCTGAACAATGACTTATATGTCTCAGAGAAAGAAAACTGTCGCAAAACTGTCCCAGACGTGTAGCCGGCTCGTATTTACTTTTTTTTGTTTGTTTTGTTTTGTTTTTTGCCATTTAATGATGTGAGAAATATACCTAATTTAATTCATTTTCTTTTTTTATTGGCTGATTTAAAGTACGGTGCCCATTGAAAGGATTTGAACATGTAAAATGTTAAGTAAAGTTTATATTTAAATATTTATTAATTTCAGGAAATAACATTGTGTGTATCATCTTCCACATATTCTTATGCTGGAACATTACAGTATCAGGTCCGTGAGGTAACATCAGCAGATGTATGGGAAACCATTGTGGTAACCACAGTGTGGTGAAGTAACAAAGTGCTGGAGGGTGTGTGAAAGAGCTGAAGGAGAAACACCCCATTCACACTTTATGTAAAGCTATAAAAATATTGGAGCAAATGTCACATTCTTCTTCACAGAAGGCAATAATGTTCACGACACCAAATCACACACTATTATTATATTGTTATGAATTATTATTTCCAATTAATACATCTCCATTTATTATGATTTCTCTGCTCCACTATGACAGTAAACCAGTTTAACCTTTAATGTGTGGATGTGTGTTTGACAGTAGCTTGTTGAAGATCCCAATATTTAAATCAAGTGCTAATTAGGTTTTGATTAAAGCCCTTTGACAATCACTACTTTTTGACTACTCAGATATTTTACTATTGGCCTAACCTTCTGCCTGATCATTAAAACTGGACTCACGTCCACCTGCACTACATGTTTATTATGGGATAACTCAGTGGTCGGAGTAAAGAATGTTGTTTTACAATTTGTTGTTACTTTATCTGCCATCATTTTAGTTTTAAGTAAATGACCTGCTCCCATGTATGGACTCAGTCCCCACATGACAAAGGACTCCACGCAAAAACACACAGCTGGTTTCCTCAGTATTGTGCAGTAAATATTCACCGTCTCACCCAGTGAAATATTCAGGAGGATCACAGTACTGTTAGTACTGCCAGTACACAAAGTGCCACATCGGTGTGTGTGGCAGAAAGGTCATCATCTGATCTTGGTTCTAGTGGTAATATACCTCCTCAAGATATTCACATCACATGACTTTTCACTTTTCGCTTGACTTTTTAATGCCAACACTGTGGCTGCTTCAAGTGTGTGTCTGTGTGTGTGTGTGTGTGTTTTTACATTGTCTAGGTGGTGGATTGAGTCGTTGTAGAAACAACAGCGACATTAAAACTGACACTTTGTTAAAACAAGTTCAGATGCAGATAGTTTTCAGTCGCAGGGACCAGACCACGCTGCCCCGTGATGTCTGTGCTGTTTACAGGTAAACACAGGCGCAGTGTGAGTGCTCCACAGTTTGTGCTATAAACAGCCAGGCTTGTTGTGGCTACACAGCACACAGGTGTGACTGTGCTTACACATAGGCAAGATTTGCCTTTGGCCTCATTTAGCCACTTATGGAAGACAATAGCCACACTTTCTCTGATCTCAGGTGGAATCTTACACTTTGCACAAGTAACGTTGACGGTGACATACAGAACATGTTTATGTTCTGAGGAAAATCAGGCAGCACAGTTCTCTTACAAGTCATTCCATCTTCCTCGGCCTTCCTCGCACAGGACTGTCGACATGATCACAAGACACTCAACACAAGTCGTTTATGTTTTTGCTCACAGACGGCCTCTTTGTTTGGGAGACTAAAACGAACTTAACCTTCTTGTGAATTTGCTGCTTTCTTTTCAGATGGGTTTATGTGTCACGTTAAATGTTAGGCCCATTTATATTCAGTGGTTACGTTTGATCTGAAGCCAAAAAGAAAACACTGTCACTGCCATAAATATTTCACGTCTACAACAATAGTCCTCGCTGACCGTTATGGATCAACTGCTCTCTCTTTATAATAAACTCAGTGGTGTTTCTCACAATCTGTGGTCACTACAAAGACCGGTGTGTTAAGTGTGCATCAGTGAGCCATTCAATCAGATTGATTTTGGTTACCCTAGCAGCCAAATTGCCCTGACCAATCTGATTACATGCTTTAAAGTCTGTTTCTGCTGTCATCTGTTCATTATAAGGACGGAGCGATTAGCTGCTGTGAAGGTGGATGAAAGACATTTTCCCCCCGACCTACAGATATTCATGGACAGAAACTTTTGTGCATCATGAATACAGTCCCCATGTTCCCTGTCTTTTATTGTTCTTTTTGTGATTTCTACCTGAGCTGAAAGTACTGTTTGGATTCTTTATAAACAAGGTTTGTTTCGGACTGGTGTTAAATTCCCTTGTGTATAGATTTCACATCTGTTTCACTATTTTTGTTGTTGTTGTCGGTCATAGTTCAGAGAAAATTTAAGACCAAAAGGTTTCAAACGGTTATGTGATGAATATACTTGGTCCCAGTGTGTGTGTGTGTGTGTGTGTGTGAGAGAGAGATAGAGTGTGTGTTTGTTTGTCCCACTGCGTTTAAACAAAAGTGATTAACTAAGAGTATGTCAATGTATCCACCTGTATGTAAGGTGTGTTGGTACAGGGGTCTCTGAGTGGGATGTTGGTACTGGAATGAAAGAAGTTTTTTTGGTGATGTATTTTTGAAGACTTTTATTAAACTGCGATTATTGTAGACAATTTCCAACATTCAGGTTAAACAAAGATCATATTTATTTACCTGAGAGTGAGCACAGAGGACTGGGGAACACATTTTGGACCGAGCTTAAACAAATCTACACTTTAAAGTATTTTTCCCACTGCCTCAGTCTGTGACGTCATCAGGCAGTTTTAGAACAGATCCTGATTTGTATATATATATTTAATTATGTCTTTCAAACAAAAAAATAAATATACAAAACACCATGATCAATAAAGTACAATTTTATTAACAGATGTGTTGTGGGGTCCAGAGGAGGGTTATATATAATTATTAAAGAAGGTGTTGCCGCTACAGTGCCTGACAGAGGGGACCAGGTCCAGGTCTTTACCGTGTGTCAGACATCGAACTCACAGCTTTTGTTCAAACTGCAGCTCCACCTCCACCCATTAAATGACGTCACTGCTCTCTGACTGCCTACTGTGCCTCCATTTATTATAATTATAGAAATACCTGCTTCCACCCGAGTACTTACTGTGTACTGAGGCCCTCACCTCATCTTCAGTAAAGTTCAAATATTGAGCACAAGCCCAAGTGTTACCAAGTAGAAAAGGTGTTGACACTGTTTAGAGGTGATTCAAATAACTATTAACATTGTGAATAAATTTGACATAAAAGTGAAATACTCTACACTTTAATCTTAACTGTTGTTTAAACAGGATTTTCTAGTTGAGTTGATTTGCAAAACTTTTTAAATTCAGCCCGCCAAACTTGCCCAAATTATGTTATTTATTTATATTATTATTTTACTTGTGACTATTCCCTGCAAGGCCCCTGTCTTGGCCACTTTGATTTCTTACCCAAACGTCATCAACGTTCTACTTTTCACACCTGTTTCTTCATCAGCAGCTTGTGATCAAACTAACTGTTCATCACCCAAGGCTCACCCTCTCTGTTATGATTATTCTGATCTTCTTACCCTCTCCTGTGCTGCTCCCCATTGGACAGAGTGACTCATAGCTTCCATGTGGCCTGGTGCTGGTGTCGGCGCCACCTACTGACACCTTCTAACAGCCTGGCCTTTGCGCTGGGCTACAACACACCCAGTGAAAAAGCTCCGGCACAGATGCCATCGTGGTGTCACCATTGAGTCGGTGATGTGATCATCTGATTGGCCACTTTCAGCACCCTGCAAAAACAAGAGCAGATTCAGCCGTGAGTACTGAGGCTGTCTGTCACTGATCACACATGAACCCAATAATGTGAATTTCTCACTCCCGTCCTAATCCTGGCTTCTCTGAAATCAGCTGTTGCCTTGGTAACCTGAGCTGACGGAAGTGTGGAGGGGTTTGGCAGGAGGAGCAGCAGCAGAGAGGAGGTGTGGGAAAACCAGCACATTTATAGATCACTGTTGGATTTATAGACATATATATGTAATTATGAGTAGACATGAGGCTGGGGGATCTTCTATAAGGCTGAGGTCGCCACGGCAGAATATCTGATAAGGGCCGGATGATGCTTTATTAAATTGAGAAGAAAAAAGAAGGAGAATCTGTGTGCACGGGTAAAATAGTTCATCAGAATGATCTAAACGGTGTGTGAGTGACAGGTGGACGGTCCTGATCACAGATGATGTCACCTGCACCGTCCTATTGGACAGTTGACCAACTGTGTGCCTTGTGATGTATGTTGCTTCTAAACTGATAATTATTCACAGATATAACGTCATATAAAATGTTCTATAATGTTCCCCAATGTGCTACTGCTCTTGCAGTATGATATCATAAATACAAAGGATCAGTGAATGTCACAGTGTCAAAGAATTATTTAAATAAATATAAATAATTCATGATAAATACATTCAAGCCTATAAACTATTTCAAAATAAAGCAAATATTTTCTAAACTACAACTAATATGTAGCATATACTTAATAACAACACTGAATAATATTTTAATCATTTACTAGCACTTTATCCTATTACACCATACCTGTCGTCTGACCTCATGACGTGGCAGCAGTGAGACCTGCGGTGCAGTTCTTGTTTTAGTCTAGTGAGGACGCTCTCGCACCACGCTGTTCTTTCTACTGATTCTCTGCATGTTGAACTCGTGTTGATTAACGACGTTAATGTGTGTTAGTGAGAGCACCTTTTAAATTAGCCATATACATTGATTATAATGTTGTAAACCCTCTGAGTTCTAACCTGATGTGATAACATTGAGCATCTGTATAAAAACTCCCTCTACCACAGCACTGCAGAGGCTGGGATTCAAACCACCAACCCAGTGTTTACAACTGGTTCTTCAACTTCGACATGTAGAATAAAAATACATTTATAGATTTATTTAAGGGATTAAACAGTGGGTATTGTATTATAGCTGTTCGAGGCGCTTTCCCTTAGAGGGCGCCACAGGAACTCAAATAGAATAGAGAATCTCCGCCAGCAACAATAATACTAACAATATTAATAATAATAATGGTAATTATTAATAATAATTAAACATGTATTATTATTATTATTATTATTGCTGTCTACCTCTGCCAAATACTTGTACTCTTCAGAAACACATAACCCGTCCGCACTCCCCTCTCACATTTAAAAGAAATAACTGACATTTTATGTGATTTTGCTGCAGCTTGTTTATGCAGATGTGTGTGGGTCTGAAGTCTGGTCCGCTTGTCGAAGTGAGACCCGCAACGTTAGACTTTGCACTTAATCTGTGGTAGTTCATACGGGACTTCATTTCCCATAATCCCTCTGGAGAGCATCGCTTTTCTTTTTTCAGCACAGCTTTCTCGACTCACAGTTGGGTCAGATGGATGAATGCGTAACAGAACAATGATTTTCATTCTGCGGGAGAAAACCTGCTGATTTCTGTCATTCACTCTGGAGTCACGGCATCTTTTTGTTCTTTGTTTTTGTTTAGTTTTTAACTTATTTTTTGTAAGCTGTTATTTAAGTCCAAACTCTGAATCAGTTGGATAAACTGGTTTAAACTTAAATTGACGGATTTTTTTTCCCCTCGGTGAAGCCTTTCCTTGTTTAATCACCTGAGGTGGGATCAGTGTGTGAAGTGTGTGTGAAGCTGAGTGATTAACACGAGCTCAGCTGGACTTCACTTTCTCACTCGCTGCCAACGCCTCTCTGTCTGTCAGCGGGTCTCTGCTTCTTCGCGGGGAATCTCCAGGTCGGCTCGAGCCCAGGACGAGTTCCATTCAAACTCATGATCTGCTGAGAAACTGACAAACCCAGGACAGAAAGAAAGGAGCCGCGGAAGAGCAAACATGGGCTGCACCAGCAGTGCCGAGGACAAGGCTGCAGTGGAGAGGAGTAAAATGATAGACAAGAACCTGAGGGAGGACAGAGAGAAAAACTCCAGAGATGTCAAACTGCTCCTGCTGGGTAGGAACCGACTCACTCTCACTCACTCTTACTACTAGAAGATATTTGGTTTAACATTTTTTTAAATTTGACCAATAAATGTCACCTAAAATTCCTCCATCCTACCCATCACCATGTCATTCCAAGATGTTCAAACTCTGGCTTGGGGTCCTTTTATGTAACACTTTCTTTAACAGGTGCATTGTGGTTGAAGTGTGGTAAGGTAGATTAGGTTAATTGGTAATTCTTACCTTTAAATTCTAAAGTTTAAATTTTTGTATGTGACCCGGTGATGGACTGATGAACTGGGGTCAGGGGTCCCACCACTCTCTTTTCTGTTTTATTTAAGTGGGTTTTTTTATATGATTGCAGTGCAATTTAATTAAAATTGTAATTATTCTGTTCCGCATTAATGGACTGCTAGTTTTACACTTAACATGTCTGTGTTTTTGGTGTTCATGTGTCCCACCTGACAGTTACTCTGCCACCCCACTAGGGAGTGGACTCTATTATCTTTGATAAAAGTCAGTGTAGACCACCCTCACTTAGAGTGAGGTGACGTAAAAAGTAACAAAACAAAAAACATCCAATGTAAAAGTAACAGAAATATTAACAGAAATGTTGTATTTCTATAAGGATGAAAATGTTCTGCTGATTATAGTGGAGTCCACTGCAGCCTTTAGGTCATCGGTGATCAGACCTGTGACTGCAGGGTGGGGCCAACAACATGTAGCCTCTGTGATAAACCTAAAAGTACTTTGAGTAATGGTGGGAAGAAAAGTCTGAGAAAAATCCAGTCATAGAAAGAAAGGCTGGGAGAATAAAAAGTGTTGTTTAGAGAAGCATCACTCTCCCTCTGGTCATCATCAAAGCTGCTGTTGGTTTTGTGCAGCTGTGGTTTCTCTTCTCTCTACTCTGACGGGAACTCAAAGAAGTAAACCAGATGTTTTGCGGTGCGAGGACGAAAGCAACAGAACAAATGTGTTGCAGCTTTTGCTTTTCTTCCTCTCACTGATGTAACACCAAGAGCAAATGTGTTCATTTGACTTGTTTGTTACGTAATCACAGTGGACGGAGCGTCTGTTGACCACCTCACTTCCTTTAGATATCACGGTGTTTGGGATGGAAATCAAAACAATGCTTTTATCTGTCATAAAATAAAAAACAAGAAACCTGGCTCAGAGAACAGACGTGAAAATCAGAAATGATACTGAAAGCAGAATCAGCGTTTTCACTTTAAACACTTTTACACAGTTCACACATTTAAAGAGACTAAATCTGCATCAGGCAGGTTATTATCTGTGCTGGGATTTTTCTAGAAGTTTCCAGTGTGTCTTTGCAGTTGGTGACCATATGTTGGAGTTTTTTTCATTTGGTGATGATGAGGTAAACTCCTCAGTCTCACATCTAGTTGGCATGAAGCCGGGTCAATTTGAAAAGTGAGAACTTCCTCTTTGTTTTTTCCCCGTCCACACCAGCTCAGGGCTAAAAAATATCTATGAATAAATACACAAGACGGACATTTTTGCATACTGTGCCTGGGTGACCTACCTTTGAAGGTAACCCTATCATAAAAAAAACAACATTTCTTTGGAAACAAATAGCAGCGTGAGCTGTAACAGCTCCCAGGAATGAGGCTTAAAACCACATTTGAATTTATGACTCCCATATACTTTACATGCTGATAATGAGCTCCTGGTTGATTGTGTGTTTTTTAAACAATGGTGGACATTCAGCTTATAGCAAAACATCATATATTAGTATTTAGTTTTGTCTTTCTATCGTGTGAAGTAAACTCAGGATCTGAGTTTGATTATTTTCTTCTTCAGGTAACTGTTTTTGCTGCTGTGCTAACGCGTGATTACGGTCGTTCCTCGCTGTATTGCGGTTCGGCTGTTGCGCCCTCAGTGCATCATTTTTGTATAGAAGATTTTTTTCCACTTTATTACGTTTTTTACTCTATATAAAAATATATGATAAATATAAAAAGAAATAAATGTCCAATGTTTTCATTATTCAATGAGCATTTTCTATACTAAGAAGAAAAAATTGTAAAAATACAAAACATTTTGTAACACATACATACAGGGTTTTGCAAGAAAGTAAATAATATGTAAATAATACAACTATTGCTTCTACGTACGGGAAAACGAGATTTGTGAAAGTCTTGACACCGTTTTTTGCCATATTTCATGCCCTGCGAAGGGTAAATATATATGTAAATAATACAACTATTGCTTCTCTACTTTGTGGTTTTTCACATATGGCGTCTTGGAACATAACCCCCACGGTAGTTGAGGCACCACCGTATTTGCATTTGTTACACAGCATCAAGTTGTGCTGCTGTGACAAGGCTGTACAACAGGCTACAGTCGTGTCGTACAGCAGTATCTTTGCGACTGTGTGATCGTGACAGATTTTCCAGGCAGTGCCCGGCTCTCCCTGTCTGTGCTCCAGCAAAAACTGTAACAGGAGAAACAAAAGGAGCTCAGCTGCTCAGTTAAAAACCGCCGACACACCCTTCCAGTGAAAACAGTCTTCACTTCACACTACAAACAGTGATTAGTGTGAAGAAATGCTCTTAGGAGGTTTTCACTCAAGTCTGACTCTCTGCATTTGGACTGGTCTGTAAAGTTGGCAGCAGGAGCGAACATTTCACCAGCCAAAAACACTGGCATGACTGAGAAGAGTGATGAAAGTGAGGAGAGAGTTTCACAGACTGGTCTGAGAGAGCTGGCCTAAGTCAGTGTTTCTGCTCACTCCCTAGCCTAAGAATTCATGGAATTAATTCCTGTTGGTTGGACGACTGAAAACATTATGGACAAAGTTCATCTGTTGAAGATTCCTCTCAAACAGTCGGATTATGAATCATCTCATTCCATAGTGGAACGCTGCTGCAGAGAGATCTGATCCTGGATTAAAAAAAGATTTTGGATAATCATATCACAAATACCAGGCTGGAAAAAGTCTTCAAAGTGCTTTGTTTTGAGGATAATTACTGTGGTTATATTGAGCAGAAAGGAGCTTGGCTGCCAGTATAAACTGAGCCCAGATGTTTATGGAAATGACTGCTCATGTTTGTAGAAGTTTGACCTCTAATGTACATAGTCATAAGTTCACGTCTCCTTCATCAAACCACAGCTCTTCAAAGACTGCTGGGCCTGTTGGGATTTAAGGAGAGAAACTGGGTCAAAACATCACGGACGACGAGTCACTGCTGACTGCCTGCTTTTTTTTGTAAACAAATGAAAAAAAAAAAACTATGCATAATACTTCAAGCAACAGACAATTCATTTGTAGCACCATGACATGTAACTGACCCAGGCTACAATACTAATGTTCTTAATAAGGTTTAATATAAAGTACATAATGTTTATATGAATATGTTGATCATATATATTCTTGTTCCACAGTGAAGGACAGCTCATCATCTACAGTCCATGTTACTCCCAGCACAGTGTGATATCCTGGTCTGTGTCTCTGTGAAACAACCCTAACCCACTGTTTGACAACTGTTTCCTGTTGGTAGAAATGTAAAAGTCAGGAGGGTTGGAAAAGTTGGGGCCCAGACATTTGGAGTCACTAAAACAACTAAAACTTACCTAATCAAATAGAATATTTCAGAGTGACAAGACAAGAAGTCCACTGTTCTTTAACACTGTTTACATGGAGTAAGGTGGTGTCGAAGGATCAATGGTTCTACAACAACAAGTCCTGGATACACAGGGGTTTATTGTTTAAATCCAAAAAATGAAGCATTTGTTTCCAAGAACTTAATCATACTGCATGTCCCAAAGCTAATAAAAATTAAATGTAAAATGCGAATATAATACATTAATACTTTTTAAAATATATTTTGATTGTATATTTGATATATTACATTAGATGTAATTTCTCCATAATATGTTTTTATGTTGGAAGAAACAAACTACAGTTTAAAGTAGACAGTCATTTTTCCAGCCTCCAAATTGATCCTGCCTTGAAACACAGCCCACCTTTTCAGAAACACCAAAGAAAGGAGTTCCAGTCTTAGTTTGACTTTTCCCTCATCTGGTCAGTACTGTAGGTGCTGTTTTTGTGAGCCTACTGCCTGGTTGAAGGATCACAGGGTACGTCTTAGCTCAACTAGGGAAACTAGGAAATTGAAAGTTGTGCCAACAGCTACAGGTGTGTGGTTTATGAGATAAAAGCTGTTGTTTAACCAGAGCAACACATTCCTCCAGTTCAATGTCTGAACTTGAAACTCAATTCAAGCACTTTTTTTGTTCGACTGTTTTGGTGTAAACATATTGCACACACACACAGACACAGAAACACAGACATAATTGAATGGGCTGACGTTCAGTCCAAGTGTTATGTAATGCTGTTCCAGGTCCACAGTTGATGAAACCACAGCTGTTTTTGTTTCAGTTCCTTGTTGTTGTTGTGCTGATGTTGTGTGATCCTTCATAGATCTGTTGTCCTTCCTTTTTTTAGGAGCTGGTGAGTCTGGGAAAAGCACAATAGTAAAGCAGATGAAGTAAGTCACACGTACTAGTTCACACACACACACACAATGTACATGAGACATGTGTACAGTATAGTGTAATTGTGCTGATGAAAAAGATTGAATCCCTTTTCTTCTGAGTAGAATGAAAACGATGTAGAAATATTGGAGGTCCTCTCTCTCTCTCTCTCTCTCTCTGTCTCTCTCTCTGTCTCTTTCTCTCCCTCTCTCTCTCCGCTCCGTTGCTGTAGGAAGCACTTTTATTCATAATGTGTGAAACAATGGCCACTGAGGCCAGTTGTAACTTGGCAGCAGCTGAATAGATTCATTCAGTTCCCACATTAGCCATGCGGCGCGGAGCTGTCCTGACCGAAGCCTGAGTTCCTGCCATTCTACTGTAACTAATGTGAAATGTTTTTTAAAATGTAATTTGTCACTAATTTATTACAACAACCCCCTGCAAATATTATTACTCCCCCCCCCCCCAAAAAAAAATCTTTTGTTTTGTTCCAGAATCATTCATGAAGACGGCTACACAGAGGAGGAGTGTAAACAGTACAGCGTGGTGGTCTACAGTAACACCATCCAGTCCATCCTGGCCATCATCAGGGCTATGGGTCGCTTAAAGATAGATTTTGGAGACGTGGCTCGGGCGGTGAGTGGGCAACAATCAGTTCACGTTACAAACCTTAACATCCGTCCAGGTGAGGAACAGATTTACAGTAAGAGCAATGATGACCTCTGCCCTCAGGAGGATTGTCGCCAACTGTTTTCCCTGGTGAGCTCAGCAGAGGAAGGAGTGATGTCAGCAGAGCTGAGCGCCGTGATTCGTCGGCTGTGGAAGGACAGCGGTGTTCAGGCCTGCTTTCATCGCTCACGAGAGTATCAGCTCAACGATTCTGCTGGATAGTGAGCAACTTCCACTTCACAGTCAAGAACTTTTCAATCAGTTCGAATGAGTCACAGATTGAAGTTTAAAAAACAGTTCAGTCAACATTCATGAAAAAACATCTATTTAGGAGCTTAGCTGATATATGTTGATATATAAGTTGATTATATTTGTATGTGTACACTACTGGTCAAAAGTTTTAGAACACCCCAATTCTTCCAGTGTTTTTACTGAAAATGATGCCGTTTAATGTCTCATTGCACTCAGACGTGAAAGCATAGTACAAATAAGCAATTGGAGTCAAAAAAGAAATTATGGGATCAATTTATAGACTAAAATGTATTCTAAACTGTTGACTCATCAAAGTAGCCACCTTTGGCAGATATAACAGCTGAACACACACCAGGCATTCTTTCTACAATAGAGATCAAAGATTCTTCAGAAAGTTCTTCCCATGTCTGTTGCAGAAGTTCACATAAATGTGTGGCACTTGTGGTTTGCTTTGCTTTCACTCTTCTGTCCATTTCATCCCAAACCAGCGGGGGTTTAAGACTGGAGACTGTGCTGGCCACTCCGTGTGTTCAAGTTTACCAGCTTGTTCTTTTTTTTTTGCAAGATAGTTCTGGCATAGCTTGGACTTATGTTTTGGGTCATTCTCTTGCTGTAAGATGAACCCCTGACCAACTAGACGTATACCAGTGGGTAATGCCTGGCACTGCAGGATGCTGTGGTGGCCGTTTTGGTTCAGGGTGCCTCTCACTCTGAACAAGTCACCAACCCTGGATCCAGACCATCACACTTCCTCCTCCATGTTTGACAGTTGAAGCCACACACTGTGGAAGCATCCTTTCACCTAATTTTGATTCATCAGTCCATAACACCTTTTTCCAGTCTTCAGTAAATCTGTGGCAGTGTTTCTTGGCCCAGGCAAGCCTCTTTGTCTTATTCTGACGTCTTAGCAATGGTTTTCTTGCTGCAACTCGTCCAGTCAAACCCGCAGCTCGAAGTCTTCTCTTCACAGTTGAAACAGAGACTTGCTTACTACGACCACTATTAAGCTGTGCTTGAAGCTGTTGTC